CCGGCTCCCAGCCAGGAGGCGTTAAAATGGCATCTCCTGCTGCCTGGCTTGGCCCTCTCTGCTCACCACGGGGGAGGACAGAGGCTGACTGGGATGAGGGGGTGAATGGCTGTAGGGTGGCACATCCTGCTCTAGCCTGCCAGCCTGCAGCAGCAGGGCAGAGGCTTAGGTCTGGTGAGCGGCACTGTGCTTCTGGCAGCCTTTCCTACACCATTTATGCCTGACTCACCCCACAGCACCCAACCTTTTCCTCCAGCTTCTGGCTCCTGTCTGCTGGGGTGGATGCTTGGCACACACAAGGTGGGTCCTGGAGAGGCCAGTGGCTGGCTGCCAGCACAGGTGGGGACCCCAGCCCTGAGCGGCAGCAGGGGATGGCTCACTGCAGGGTGTATTCAGATCTCGCTTTGTCCCTCCAGAACCACTTGCTTTGGTGGACTGAGATTCAGGGAGTTGGCCTGATGGCCAGCCTGAACCTGTGTCCATCCCCACCCCACTGATTTGTTTTGTGGCAGCACAAGGAAGGTGGAAATCTGGCCCCAGCCCCGGGAGACCACAGCAAAGCCCAGTTGGGAGAGACCAGGGGGTTCAGCTATGGCAGCGCTTGGTGGATACCTCTCTCTGGGTGGGCCCTGGCACAGGAGAACATCCCCTGTGCTTGACATATCCCCAACACTATCCCCCCTCTTTGGCAACAAGAGACAAGGTAGCCCTCAGACAGCTGCGGCCCAACTTCAACCTCATCACCGACATCTCTGGGCAGAGAGCACCTTGGGTCCTCGGGAAGTGCTGGGAATGAGCACTGGGGATGTGTGACTCAATGCCAGGAGATGCCACAAGTCTGCAAGCAGCACCCCAAAACACCCAGCAAGGTCCTGGGGAGTCCCTGTCTGGGGCTGCAACCTTCCTGATGCCATCTCCAAAGCCAGACCTCTGTCTGACTGGTTTCATGTCACATGGCTGAGCTAAAGCACAGAGATAGCCATGTGGAAAATGCCACACTGACCTGCATTAAAAGTGCAATGAAAAAATCTGTACTGTAAAACTCCCTTGCTTTCATTTAATCATTCAACTCAGGGTGTAGAAGGCTTCACGTGCAGGCAATTATTGAACCCCAACATGGGGTGGCACCCCAGTATCTCCAGTTTAGATCACGGAGAGCTTGTGCTCTTCCCAAGCCTGATTAATTGTGCAATTATTTTAACCACATGGCCCTGCTCCTTTGGCAAGGTAGCCATCTAAAAGCTGTTGTTTGATAAAGTTGGACTTCATGTGGAGAAGATAAATCCCCAGTGTGAAAAATCATTTATTCCCATAGAAATCCCTGGCAATTGAAGGAAAGGGAGTTTTAAATCTGGCCAATGTCAGGAAGATCTGATGCTGACCCTGTCTCATCCCTGACCAGTTCAGAGGAAATCCTTTGGCTGTTGGACCTGCAGAAGAGGGTGAGAAGCAGCCCTGAAGGCAGAGAAGATCTGACCCCATTGAAGTACTGGGTGGTGGGCTGGCTCCTAATTGAGGGATTAAAGGGTCTCTGTGCTCCCTGACATCCTGGGTGTTTTCTCCCTTTGAGGTGAGAAGGCAACACAGTCTGGAGCCAGAGCTCCTGGTGACTCAGTGGGAAAGGCTAGAGCCAGCTGAAAACTGGTTGCCATCCAAAAAACCTGGGACAACCTGTTAAAATAGATGTACCAGGGATGGAGATGAATGTCTGTATCAACAGATACTCCTCCAGCCCCTCAGCAGGCATTTGTAGGATGCCTGTGGTTGTGAAGCACAGGAGTGCGATGGCCCCGGTAGCTGGCTGAGGGCGATGAGGTCTGGGATGGTCAGTGCTGAGGGCAGCCTGTGGGTACCTGCTGTCATCCTCAGAATTTAGGTTGGGGACAAACTTGGATCTCTGGATGAGTGTGGTACTAACAAGACTCCGGTTCAACCTCCTTGAGGTGCCAGCACTGCTCCTAGGGCCCAAGGTTGGTGGTCACAGGGACTGCTGGGAACTCCCTTTCCAGGGCCAGCCTAGGTCTACTGCCAGCTGGTCCCCAGGACCTCCAGGGCAGAGGTTGTCTCTGAGATCCCAGCACCTCAATCCCAACCCTCTTGCAGCATCTTGCATGGACCCCTCTTGGTGTAGGAGAACCGGAGCCTCACACATCCTACAAGAATCCTTGGCTTTCCCATGCTGACAAGTGAATAGCACTGAAGGGCATGATGAAACAGCATCAGGCCCTGACTCACGCACGCTGTCTTTGCAATGGTGATAAGAAATTTTTTGCCTGGCCTCTCCTGGCAAAAATGCCCAGCAGAGCACGGAGGAGTGAGTGATAGCCTGGACATAAGGCCAGGCCATGGACCTGCCCCGGGCAGCAGCCAGAGTCCCCCCAGGTGAGCATGAGGTGGGGCTGGGCTCCACAGGAGGGGAGGTGATGGCACCCTCAGCACTTTCCCCATGGGGATGTTTTGGTAAGGGCCAGTTTTGAATGGCGTGTCCTGTGCAGTTGCCTCAGGCAACTTGGGAGTGGGAGGCTGTTACCTTGCGAACTGTGGAAAAGCTGAATTAAAGCAATACCAAAGAAGCACAGGAGAAGGAACAGCGGCAGGATGGGCTTGTCCAGCTTGGAGGCAAAGGGGAATCAGCGCTTGCTCTAGGGGCGGGCTGGGGCCCTCTGTCCTCACTGGACCAGCTGTCCCAATTCAGGACACAGCCTCGCTTCATACCCTGCCACCTCGAGAGCCCATGGCTCCTTTAGAAACCTGGTCACTATTACAAGGGTGGTGGGCAAACCTCCACAGACTGGCTGCCCTGCAGAGCTGGTGGCCCATGATGATGCAGGATCACAGCCAGGGCAGAGGGAGGCACCACCAGCACCTCGTGCAGAAAATGAGGGTCCTGCATCTTCCCCACTGTGACTGGCCCTCTCCAACCACCCCCACCCCCACCCCCATGGCTGTGGTCACAGCCCCTGGTTTTGCCTGACTGAAACAGCCACCCCACAACCTCTGGCTCTGCCCCAAACAGATGCTGCCCTATACCCCCAGCATCAATAGGTGGGGAGACATCACCACCCCAGCCATGGCCTCCACTGCGGGGTGGTTCTTCAGACACCATGGCTATCACCATCCTCACTCCCTCGCACCCCAGACCATTATGGCCCTAGTATGGGGACACTCATTGCACAGATCCCCCTTATCCTGGGACTACCTGGGCCCCTTGACCATGATCATCATATGTTCAGAGGATCCTGCACCCCCGTATTCCAGAGGACACCCCAGGTCACTTGTCATCCTTATTCTTGTTCCTCCATACTCCCAGGCCCTTTGGCTCTTATGGCCCAACTCCCCAGGACTCCCTAATGGCCATAACGGCTCTGTTCCAGGTATCCCTGTTGCACAGGTCACCCCTTGTCCCAGGATCCTCCCCAGGGAAGCTTGATCATTGCCATCCCCTGCTCTTGGGGACCCCCAGACCCCTTGGGCATGGCCCCATACATGGGGCTCCCTATCTCCCATGTACCCCCGCTGGCAGCGTCCCATCTCCCGTGTAACCCCCCTGCCATCGCTCCATCTCCCGTGTAACCCCCCCCGCCATCGCTCCATCTCCTGTGTAACCCCCCCCCCCATCGCTCCATCTCCCGTGTAACCCCCCGCCATCGCTCCATCTCCCGTGTAACCCCCCCCGCCATCGCTCCATGTCC